CTTCCCGGTCATGTCATTGGCTGTCACAGTGATCACCTGATCAGGAGCCCGCCTCATTGGTTCCCCAGTAAGTAAACTGTGAGCAGGACTTGGTGGCTGTGTGGCCACTGTGCTGAGGCCACCAAGTCAGCGAGCTCCCAGCTCGCCGTTAAAGCTCCATGTTCCACATATGTGTGTGTATATATATATATATATCTGCCAGACATCCAGGGAGCTCCCGACTTCCTGTATAAGCTGACAACGCTGCCTCTGCTGCACTGAAATCCTAATCAGCGTTGTCAGGGCTCCCAGTGACACGACAGGAAGTGAGGGGATATCTCCCAACAGCACTAGACCAGTGCCCCAGCCACACAACCTTTCCTACTGTGAGGAGCACTGACTAGAACACGCGTCGCCCCACACGCCCGTGTCACGGTGCAAAGATACACAGGGTCACCCTACATGCTAAATCTCCAGCCCGGGTCTTTACCACCCCGTGCAGAATATCTCCTCGCAGGCGGCGCGGCTCCGCGTTACCGTCACACATCATATTAATAAACAGCCACCGGCGGAGAGCGAATCGTGCCGACGAGACGCGAGGAGCCGACAGGACGATTCTACGCGCCCCGCATAGCAGCGCCGGCACAGCCTAGCGCCATGGCGGCAAACCTGATGGCGGCGGCCTCTTCCCGTAACCTGGCGGAAGAGATTAGAGACGAGGAGAAGGTGACGCCGCGTCCATGTGACCGCATTGCATTCATCTCTTATCCTGAGATCTACAGAGCAGAAGCAGGCGAGACCCGGACTGAGGTTCACTGCAAATCCTTGCGAGGTCCCAAAAATGACCCGACGCGACCTTTGTTCTCTTCTCAAAATAAATTGGAGCCGCACTTTAAGAGTTCCTGGAACTCCGCAGCCGTCTGGAGTGTCAGCTGACGTGAACCGCGAGCGGTCCTGAGGATCCCGATAAGACGGAGAGTTCTCCGAGGACCCGAAGTGGCCGGAACTTCACCGACAGACAACAATCTCTCCGCCAATCACAGAACACCGATAGAGCCGAGCGCCCGCTACACATCACAGTGCTTCTGTATAAGATGGAGGTCCGAGCAACCAGGGAGAGGGAGGGAAGACTGAAGAGAACTCACCTCCAGCCTCCCCTTCACTCATATCTGACCTCCGTCCTCCCCTTCAGTCTTCTATCTGCCCTCCGTCCTTCCCTTCCGTCTTCTACCTGACCTCCGGCCTCCCCTTCTGTCTTCTACCTGACCTCCGGCCTCCCCTTCTGTCTTCTACCTGACCTCCGGCCTCCCCTTCTGTCTTCTACCTGACCTCCGGCCTCCCCTTCTGTCTTCTACCTGACCTCCGGCCTCCCCTTCTGTCTTCTACCTGACCTCCGGCCTCCCCTTCTGTCTTCTACCTGACCTCCGGCCTCCCCTTCTGTCTTCTACCTGACCTCCGGCCTCCCCTTCTGTCTTCTACCTGACCTCCGGCCTCCCCTTCTGTCTTCTACCTGACCTCCGGCCTCCCCTTCTGTCTTCTACCTGACCTCCGGCCTCCCCTTCTGTCTTCTACCTGACCTCCGGCCTCCCCTTCTGTCTTCTACCTGACCTCCGGCCTCCCCTTCTGTCTTCTACCTGACCTCCGGCCTCCCCTTCTGTCTTCTACCTGACCTCCGGCCTCCCCTTCTGTCTTCTACCTGACCTCCGGCCTCCCCTTCTGTCTTCTACCTGACCTCCGGCCTCCCCTTCTGTCTTCTACCTGACCTCCGGCCTCCCCTTCTGTCTTCTACCTGACCTCCGGCCTCCCCTTCTGTCTTCTACCTGACCTCCGGCCTCCCCTTCTGTCTTCTACCTGACCTCCGGCCTCCCCTTCTGTCTTCTACCTGACCTCCGGCCTCCCCTTCTGTCTTCTACCTGACCTCCGGCCTCCCCTTCTGTCTTCTACCTGACCTCCGGCCTCCCCTTCTGTCTTCTACCTGACCTCCGGCCTCCCCTTCTGTCTTCTACCTGACCTCCGGCCTCCCCTTCTGTCTTCTACCTGACCTCCGGCCTCCCCTTCTGTCTTCTACCTGACCTCCGGCCTCCCCTTCTGTCTTCTACCTGACCTCCGGCCTCCCCTTCTGTCTTCTACCTGACCTCCGGCCTCCCCTTCTGTCTTCTACCTGACCTCCGTCCTTCCCTTCAGTCTTCTACCTGACCTTCGGCCTCCCCTTCTGTCTTCTACCTGACCTCCGTCCTTCCCCTTCAGTCTTCTATCTGACCTCCGTCCTCCCCTTCAGTCTTCTACCTGACCTCCGTCCTCCCCTTCAGTCTTCTTCCTGACCTCCGTCCTCCCCTTCAGTCTTCTACCTGACCTCCGTCCTCCCCTTCAGTCTTCTATCTGACCTCCGTCCTTCCCTTCAGTCTTCTACCTGACCTCCGTCCTCCCCTTCAGTCTTCTATCTGACCTCCGTCCTCCCCTTCAGTCTTCTATCTGACCTCCGTCCTCCCCTTCAGTCTTGCAGTTGTACCGGCTCCTCTCCTGGACTGAAATTGCTTCCTCTGAACACTGGCAGCTCCTCACAATGTGCATTAGAAGCTGCAGCAAGTCAGATAGAGGCCGCCTCATGTCCTGGCTGGAGGACGTCCAGCATCACCTAGTGCTTTCCTCTCCAGCCTGACTGTCCCTGGCCCCGCCCCTTTTATTCATTGGATTTCAGTCATGGACGCTCAGCATCACACGGGGGCGTTACCTAGGGGCGGTCTGCATGCAAATACAACCTACCTAGAAACTCCCCCTCCTCCAGACTGACACCCAAGAGCCCACCCACTGCTTGCATCAGGGCTGAAGGCTCTTGAAAGGGAGTAGGGTGCGGTGATGTTGTCAGAAAACTATGTACAGCGTCCTGCCGGCCCCTCCCACCAGCCGTGACATCACTGACACTAAAAATAAGGTACATAATGAAAGCGAAAGGGTTCCATTATCAGGTGGATTGGCAGGGGATGGACCAGGGAAGAGAGCGGTGACATCACTGAGAATGCAGCCTATCCCATCACTAGAGAGCGGTGACATCACTGAGAATGCAGCCTATCCCTTCACTAGAGAGCGGTGACATCACTGAGAATGCAGCCTATGCCTTCACTAGAGAGCGGTGACATCACTGAGAATGCAGCCTATGCCTTCACTAGAGACCGGTGACATCACAGAGAATGCAGCCTATCCCATCACTAGAGAGCGGTGACATCACTGAGAATGCAGCCTATCCCATCACTAGAGAGCGGTGACATCACTGAGAATGCAGCCTATGCCTTCACTAGAGAGCGGTGACATCACTGAGAATGCAGCCTATCCATTCACTAGAGACCGGTGACATCACTGAGAATGCAGCCTATCCATTCACTAGAGACCGGTGACATCACTGAGAATGCAGCCTATCCATTCACTAGAGACCGGTGACATCACTGAGAATGCAGCCTATCCATTCACTAGAGACCGGTGACATCACTGAGAATGCAGCCTATCCATTCACTAGAGACCGGTGACATCACTGAGAATGCAGCCTATCCATTCACTAGAGACCGGTGACATCACTGAGAATGCAGCCTATCCATTCACTAGAGACCGGTGACATCACTGAGAATGCAGCCTATCCATTCACTAGAGACCGGTGACATCACTGAGAATGCAGCCTATCCATTCACTAGAGACCGGTGACATCACTGAGAATGCAGCCTATCCATTCACTAGAGACCGGTGACATCACTGAGAATGCAGCCTATCCATTCACTAGAGACCGGTGACATCACTGAGAATGCAGCCTATCCATTCACTAGAGACCGGTGACATCACTGAGAATGCAGCCTATCCATTCACTAGAGACCGGTGACATCACTGAGAATGCAGCCTATCCATTCACTAGAGACCGGTGACATCACTGAGAATGCAGCCTATCCATTCACTAGAGACCGGTGACATCACTGAGAATGCAGCCTATCCATTCACTAGAGACCGGTGACATCACTGAGAATGCAGCCTATCCCTTCACTAGAGACCGGTGACATCACTGAGAATGCAGCCTATCCCTTCACTAGAGAGCGGTGACATCACTGAGAATGCAGCCTATCCCTTCACTAGAGAGCGGTGACATCACTGAGAATGCAGCCTATCCCTTCACTAGAGAGCGGTGACATCACTGAGAATGCAGCCTATCCCTTCACTAGAGAGCGGTGACATCACTGAGAATGCAGCCTATCCCTTCACTAGAGAGCGGTGACATCACTGAGAATGCAGCCTATCCCTTCACTAGAGAGCGGTGACATCACTGAGAATGCAGCCTATCCCTTCACTAGAGAGCGGTGACATCACTGAGAATGCAGCCTATCCCTTCACTAGAGAGCGGTGACATCACTGAGAATGCAGCCTATCCCTTCACTAGAGAGCGGTGACATCACTGAGAATGCAGCCTATCCCTTCACTAGAGAGCGGTGACATCACTGAGAATGCAGCCTATCCCTTCACTAGAGAGCGGTGACATCACTGAGAATGCAGCCTATCCCTTCACTAGAGAGCGGTGACATCACTGAGAATGCAGCCTATCCCTTCACTAGAGAGCGGTGACATCACTGAGAATGCAGCCTATCCCATCACTAGAGAGCGGTGACATCACTGAGAATGCAGCCTATCCCTTCACTAGAGAGCGGTGACATCACTGAGAATGCAGCCTATCCCTTCACTAGAGACCGGTGACATCACAGAGAATGCAGCCTATCCCATCACTAGAGAGCGGTGACATCACTGAGAATGCAGCCTATCCCATCACTAGAGAGCGGTGACATCTCTGAGAATGCAGCCTATCCCTTCACTAGAGAGAGGTGACATCTCTGAGAATGCAGCCCATCCATTCACTAGAGACCGGTGACATCATGAATATTTTGGCTCCGCCCTCCTCTGGGTTCAGTAACACACATTGGACGCGGAGTCATAGAATACATATAAAAGGATTCTTTGTTGATTTGCACACATCATCATATTTGGGGGTTCTGGAAAGTTCTGGAAAGTTCTGGTACGGTCCGCGGAGCTGCGACGGGTCTAATCCCTGAACTCGTAGAAGGTCTTTGCCATGGCGTGCGCCACTTTCAGCACTTTCTTCTCTTTGGCATCGGACCCCAGGTTGGTCCGGGCCAGCTGGATCCAGTACTGTTCGGTCCGGGTCAGGTAATCAGAGTACTTCTCCTTCGGTTCCACTGCCGGATGGTCGCCGTCATCTGCGGATGGGACAAAACATTAGATACGGCCTGAAGTTTGTCCATCCCGGACCACCATACCTGCCGCCTGCTCGCTCCATTCAACTGCAGAGAGCCAGCCTGTGTAAGCTCCAACTCATAACTCCACCCCCCCCATGTGACAGCTCTGGGCCAATCACCTGCACTGTCACATGGAAGGAACCGGAGCGAGTCACATGACCCGGGTATTTAACTCCCGATAGCCGAATGGAGCAGCAGAGGAGACGTACAAGGGATCTGCACGTTGTAAACAAACGCCATCTATGAACAAGGTCACCATACCGCTATCCTCCTCGCTTTCATCATCTTCATCCTCCTCTTCCTCGGCCCCTCCCTCTGCGCCTTCGGTCTCCTCCTCTTCACCGTCAGAATCAGATTCATCCAGCCACTCTTGCGTCTCTGTTTACAGAATGACAGTAAATATGATACAGCTTAGCGGGACTGTTCTATAACGCAGTGGGTAGGCGGAGATGATGTCATCAGTATGCTGCAGGCAATAGGAAGCATTGCCTCAGTCTCCCCTCCCCCAGTGATCAGTCTGCTGCAGCTAGAAGGAAGCATTTCCTGAGGTCTCCCCTCCCCCAGTGATCAGTCTGCTGCAGGCAGGAGGAAGCATTTCCTCACTCTCCCCTCCCCCCAGTGATCAGTCTGCTGCAGCCAGGAGGAAGCATTTCCTCAGTCTCCCCTCCCCCCAGTGATCAGTCTGCTGCAGGCAGGAGGAAGCATTTCCTCAGTCTCCCTCCCCCCAGTGATCAGACTGCTGCAGGCAGGAGGAAGCATTTCCTCACTCTCCCCTCCCCCAGTGATCAGTCTGCAGGCAGGAGGAAGCATTTCCTCAGTCTCCCCTCCCCCAGTGATCAGTCTGCTGCAGGCATGGTTATTGTGTCATCTCTGAGCCGGCGTCTCAGTCCATGAAGTAGGTGGTGACCCCGGATGATGCCTGAACAAACATGGCGCCATGTCAGAGGAAGCTGCGCTGCACAGACAGAGAATCTGACACTTAAATCTCGGACACTGACCCCTCCCCCCCATCGCCTTCCTGACTTACTCGGGTCCATTTCCACCAGCACTTTCCAGTCCTCCATCTTGTGGAGGTCGAGGCAGTAAAGGTCATTGAGGGTGAACTGGCGGTCCCCGACCTCGAACATTCCGCCGTACACATAGAGGAGCCCCTGCCTGACGGTGATCATGGTGTTGGAGCGCGGGGACGGCTCCACCCGCGGCCCGGCCGCCTCCTCCTCTTCCTCCTCCGCGCTGTCGTCCTGGTCACTTGGCGGCCCCGTCTGGCTGGAGGTCACCTGCTTGATGGGCATCACCGTCCCGTC